GCCATAAATATTTACTGGAGAAAAAAAATAGCCTATTCAACAAATGATGCTGGGAAAACTGGAAATCCATATGTAGCAAAATGAAATTAAACCTCTATCTCTCACCCTGAACAAAATCAACTCAAAGTGGATCAAAGACCTAGGCACTAGGACAGAGACCCTAAGCCTAATAGAAAAAAAAAAAGTAGGCCCAAATCTTCACCATGTCGGCTTAGGATCTGACTTCCTTAACAAGACTCCTAAAGTGCAAGAAGTAAAAATCAAGAATCAATAAATTGGATGGATTCAAATTAAAAAGCTTCTTTTCAGCAAAGGAAACAACCAATAATGTGAGAACAGAGTCTCCAGATTGGGAGAAAATCTTTATCACTTGCACCTCCAATAAAGCATTAATCTCTAGGATATATAAAGAACTTAAAAAACTTAACACCCCCCACCAAAAAATACAAATAATCCAATCAATAAATGGCCTAAGGAACTAAACAGATACTTCACAGAAGAAGTAATACAATCAATCAACAAATACATGAAAAAGTGTTCAACATCTCTACAAATTAGAGAAATGCAAATCAAAACTACATTAAGATTTCATCTCACTCCTGTCATAATGGCAATCATCAAAAATACAGACAACAATAAATGTTGGCAAGGATGTGCTGAAAAAGGTACTCATACATTGCTGGTGGGATTACAAATTGGTGTAACCACTATAGAAAGCAGTATGGAGATTCCTCAAAAACTGGGAATGGAACCACCATTTGACCCAGCTATCCACTCCTTGGTTTATACCCAAAGGATTTAAAAGTAGCATACTACAGTAATGCAGCCATATTAATGCTGATAGAAGCTCAATTCATAATAGTAAACTATGGAACCATGCTAGGTGTCCTTCAATAGATGAATGGATAAAGAAAATGTGGTATATATATTCAATGGAATATTACTCAGCTTTAAAGAAGAATGAAATTATGGCATTTGCCAGTAAATAGATGGAGTTGGAGAATATCATGCTAAGCAAAATAAGCCAGTCCCGGGGCTGGGATTGTGGCTCAGTGGTAGCACAGGCGGGACCCGGGTTCGATCCTCAGCACCACATAAAAATAAAGGCATTGTGTTGTGTTCATCTACACCTAAAAAACAAATATTTTTAAAAAATAAGCCAGTCCCAAAAAACCAAAAGCCAAATGTTTTCTTTAATATGTGGATGCTAATTCACAATAAGGCAGGGGCCACTAGAGAAGAATAGCATTACCTTAGATTAGATAGAAGGAAATGAAGGGAGGGAAGGGGAGGGGAGGGAATGGGAGAGGAGGGGATATGGGGATAGGAAGGATAGAACAAAACAGACATTATTACTTTATTTGTATATGTGACTGCATGACCAATATGATTCTATATCATGTACACTCAGAAAAATGAGAAATTATATCCTATCTATGTATGATATATCAAAGTGCATAAATTTATTCTACTGTCATGTCTAACTAATTAAAACAAAATTTTTAAAAGTATTCTAAGCAGTCATTGTGCCTGAAACCATCAGCTATAAAAGGGACCTACAGGGAGAAAAGCAGTGTGGAGGCAGAAGGGAATGTCCCCCCAGCAACAGAGGGTCCCATCCAATCCTGGTCATCTCAAGGCACCAGTAGCCAAGTTGACCCTTCCCACTCTCTTTGTGGTTATAAGTTTTTTGACCCAAAACTTTTTTTTTGTTCTTCTCAGTTATACATGACAGAGAGTGTAATTTGGCAAATTATACATACAGAGAGTATAACTTATTCTATTTAGCATCCCACTCTTGTGGTTATACATGATGTGGAGTTACCCTGGCCATGTATACAAATTCAAGGCTAGGAAAGTTATGACCGATTAATTCTATTCTTTCCTATTCCCCTCCCTTCCCAACCCTTCCCTTTGTTTCCCTTTATCTAATCCAGTGGATTTCTATTATTCCCCTCCCCAACATCCCTTGTGACCCAAAACTATTTTTTATGGTAAATGTTCAAAGAACTTTCAGAGAAGCTGAATGAATTCTTCAACGACATAACCATAGTACCATTATCACAAGTAAGAAAATGACCATTTACTCAATGATAGCTAATATATTAGATATTATTTATATTAAAAATTATTTAAGTTATCTCAATATGTCTTTTATAAATTTTTTTATCCAAGATCTAATTAAGGTTCACAAATTACATTTCATGTTAGGTCTTTTAAGTCTCTCTTATCTACTACCAAGTCTCATCTTTTTAAAAATATCATTGAATCTATGGAGAGGCACAAACCACTTGTTTTGTAAACTGTTTCACATTTTGGATTTTGCTTCCTTATTTTAATTCAGTTAGACATGTTTGGCAAGACTGGTACACAGGTAATAGTGCACTTCCTCAGAAAGCACATAACCTGGCCTGTCTCCTATTAGATCACTCGGTTGAAATGCTGACTGCCCAGTTGCTCCACTGTAAGGTACGCTGACCCTGTAGAATCAGTAAGTCATCTTTCAAGGTAACATTTTTAGACCACATGAATATCCTATTCCACAATTATCTTTCACCAATTAGTTTTTGCATCCACTTATGAACATCTCTGGTTACAAAATGGAGATTTTTTTCTAAATTAATTAGCTAGCATTCTATAAAAAGGCCCTTTTCCCCTCCCCAACACTCTCGCTCTCTGATTATCAAAATGTACCTATATATTTTGATACATTATCAACTATACCTATTCAATGTGTTATAACCCTTATCCAAAATGCTTGGGATCAAAAGTGTTTCAGACTTCAGAGTTTTTGAATTTGGGGATATTTGCAAAGACTTTACCAGCTGAGCATCCCTACTCCAAAATTTTGAAATCTGAAATGCTCCAAAATCCAAAGCATTTTGATTGTCATGTTAGTGTTCCAAAAGTTCTAGGTTTTGGAGCATTTGGGAGTGCAGGTTTTCAGATCAGAGCTACTCCACCTGTACTGTCATTATTCTTTGTGATGCTCCATCTGTTACCATTTGATCAGACAGGGCCCTTTTAATCGAGCTCCTGAATCCTTTTCCAGGACTTCACTCATCTCTGAGTGCTACCCTGCTTTCTAGCTAGTTGCCCCAGGCCCACCTTGCCCTTTCCCTGCTTCTCCCTGGAGAAGCCATTTTTCTAGATCTTTCTAATGGGACCCATTCTTTATGAGCACATCAGCAAGTTTATATTCTCTCACTTTTCTCTACCTTTTCTTTCTTCTCCACTTCCTTTCCCAGTCCTTCGTCATCTGCACTGGCATGGGAAGCAATTTGTCCTTCATAGGAAGTGGGAGGAGAAGGATGTCAGAGGAGGAAAGGGGATATGGGGACCTCCAGTAAACTTAAGGACATTATTAACCAAACTACTCACCAATCAATGAGAAGCTTCATTTTCTGTGGTTTACCACATTATTGGTTAATGCCAAAGCAAGGCTTGTACTTCAAGAAGCTTCTATCTCATGATTCCATTTGGAAACTTACATCATTTTTGTTTTGTTATATTTATATGAAACATGCACAAGGACTACCTAATCTCTGGCACTTTTATCTCCTCCTTTTGTTTTATTTGTCTTCATTAGCACTCGCTATTTCTTAAACTCTATAAGATATATGTAGAGTTTATAAATTCTATATCTTATATATATTTATTTATTTTCATTCTTGTCCCACTAGTATATAAGTTCTGTGGATGACACATATTTTTTTTTTGTCTATTTTGCTGTTTACTACTATACTCCTAGTGCATAGAATAAATAGTGCCTGGAATTCAATAGGGGCCCCATAATTGCTTGTGAATGAGTAAAATAGCTTGGCCAATGTGTTAGTCAGCCTTTTGGTTGCTGCAACCAAAATACCTGACAAGACCATCGTAAAGGAGGAAAAGTTTACTTTGGGCTCGTGGTTTCAGAGCATTTCAGATTTCAAAATTTTGGCAGAACACCATGGAGGAAGGGTGGCAGCAGAGGAGAGCTGCTCACCTCCTGGCAGCTGGAAAGCAGAGACAGAGGGAGGAGCTGGGGGCAAGATATAATTCCCAAGAGGGTGCTCCCAATGACCCACCTCTTCAAGCCACACCTCACCTAACTACAATTACTACCCAGTATAATAATAAATATAATTATGAATCTATCAAATGAGATAATCCCTGATTACATTACTAAACACTTATACTCTAATCATTTCACCTCCTACATCAACACAGGAACTTTTGGAAATCTCATATGAGAACTATAACAGCCAGGAACATGGGCTAAGGTAAATACAACCTCCCATTTAGTCTTTAAGCCTGCACTTCAATGTCCCTGCCAAGTATTCAATTATTCCCTTCTCTGTGTTCCCAAAGCCCTTTCTATGTTGCTGGATCTGAATACTTGAAATATCACATCATTGTTTATTTATGTCTGTTTCACCTGAGAAACTGTGAGTTCCTCTAAGGCAAAGACAAGGTCACACTTATCTTCACAGTCCCAGCACTTAGCACAGGAGTTGCTGGCACATGAGTGTTTACCATTTGGAGCAGGACTCCTCCTGCATCTAGTCAAGGTGTCCCTTCTGCCACCGGAGCAGGCTGCTGGGCTTTTCCTCCATGCCTGAGCCTGAACTGGGCTCCCAGCTGGCTACTCCCAGCTCCTGAGAAAGTCTCTGGCTAGGCAGCAGCTCACAAAGGACCCTTTGACTGAACCGCACTGGGCTGTTTCAGGAAAAATCACGTTCCCTGCCACAGCACCTCTCACTAAGGCCAGTGTCCCTATAATTCCAAGGCAACACAGGGCCACAGTGTTCGCCAAGAAACAAGAGTAGGGGCAGAACACTGGCAGAGCCACCAGGGAGAGCAGGCTGGCTTCTGGGAGACAGGCGGGCAGGTCAAGGGGGGCTTTATATCAGCAGAGTAGCAGATGCACAGCTCTGAGAACTGCCTCGGGATAGGAGGAGAGTGGGTTAAACAGAACAAGTCCAGGACTGTTGAAGATTGGCCTCAAAGATGCTCACCTGCTCTCTTCTCTCAATCTTCTTTTCAGTTTGCTCTGAAACTGGACTTTCAGGTGGCACGGTTAACCGCAGTCTGCAGACATTTGCCTGGAAGAGGTGGAGAGGAGAGGCAAGTTAGGGACCAGCGTTTGAGGCAGAAAGAGCAAGGTGACCTTGGGCTTCTCACAGCCTGTTTCCACTTGGCAATGGGGGCTGCTGTACCAATCACCCAGAAGACTGAGAAGGGAAGGCCAGCCTCTGTCTGGCCCGGCACAGGCACACACCAGCCTGCTGCTCAAAACAAGGAAACCACTGATTGACTTCGGAAATTTCAAACATTTTTAAACAGCTCAGGTTCCATAACAATATGTATAAAATGATCCCAGTTCACAAGTACAGGCCAACATGCAGCTAGAGGAAGAGAAGACGAAATACACACAGTGGTTCTCTCTAAATTAGAAGATTTCAGGTGACCAGGGTAGGAGGGTGCTTTCTAACTGACTATATATTTAATTATTTTACAACAGAGATATATATGCTTGATCACAACTTTTTAAAGTCTATTTACCTATGTTCATAGTAGCATTATTCACAAGAGCCAAAAAGATTTTGTTTATCAAATGGATAAACAATATGAGGTACATATGAACAATGGAATATTATTCAGCCTTAGGAAGAAAGGAAATTCTGACACATGCTACAACAGTATGCTAAGTAAATAAGTCAGTTACAAAAGGACAAATGTTGCATGATTCTACGTATGTGAAATACTCAGAGTGTTCAAAGTCACAGAGAAAAAAAGCAGCAAGATACTGGGCATGGCGGTGCACACCGTGGGAGGCTGAGGCAGGAGGATCAGGAGTTCAAAGCAGCTTTAGCAAAAGCGAGGTGCTAAGCAACTGAGTGAGACCCTGTCTCTAAATAAAATACAAAATAGAGTCACAACATGTGGCTCAGTGGTCGAGTGTCCCTGAGTTTAATTCCCGGTACTCACCCTAACCCCTCCAAAAAAAAGAAAGCAGCATGGTAGCTTCCAGGTGGCAAGTGGGAGGAATTAGGGAGTTGTGTTTATTGGGTAGAGTTTCAGTTTGGGAAGATGCGAAGGATTCTGTGGGTGGACAGTGGTAATGTTCACACAACACTACCAGTGCACTTAATGTCACTGGACTATATACTATATATACTATATACTATATACTTAGAAATGGTTAAGACAGCAAATGTGATGCTTTGAGTATTTTACAATTAAAAAAAACTAATAAAACCAAACATGAGGCATGTTTGCTGAATTCAGATCTAAAGAAAGAGCATTAGATGGAAAGGCATAGGAGACTAAAACATAAGATTATAAGTTGATAAAACACCTGACTCCTTCATTGGCTATACCACCATGAATATTTGTCCCTAATTACTGAGCATCTTCTCAGTTTATTAAAGGCTGCCAACAGAGTTCACTGAAACATTGGAATAAAGGTTCCTACGTGATTTTTTTAAAGTCTAGGGCTGGGATGTAGCTCAGTGATAGATCACTTGCTTAGTATGCACAAAGCCCTGGGTTCGATCCTCATTACTGAAAAAAAAAAGTCTAAATTACACTATTTCTCTTAAAATAAAATAAAGCATTATACCATTCCTGGAGAGAAATTACAACATATGTGATCTATCAATATTCTATTGATAAGGACAAATCATTGAGCAAAGTCATTTCTCTGCCTACTAGGACGGAAAATATACAACCACAATCTGTAGTGTGAATGAGGCATTAACTATAATAACAGCTAACCACAGACTCCACTTACTGCATGCCAAGCACCTGTAAGCCTCTTCCCTCCACTTATTCATGTGATCCTCACCATGACCCCATGGCAACAGGTCCTCCCACTAGCCCTACTTTGCAGTGAGGAAATCAAGTCCCTGAGGGGCCTCATGGCCTGCAAATGGCAAAGCTGAGATTTGAACCCAGGGAGTCTCCAGAGCCTGTGCTCTTAGCCCTCAGATTCACCGTCTACTACATCCCTGAAACGTCACATGGGCTCAACTCATGGGAGGGCCACTTGTCCCAATATGGGTTGAACTGTGTCTCCCTAACTTCATACGTTAAGTCCTAATCCCAGTATCTAAGAATATGAACCTACTTAGAGATAGGGTCTTTATAATGGTACTCAAGTAAAAAAAATGAGATCAAGGGTGACACTAAATCAAAATGATTAGTGTCCTTATCAAAATGGGAAATGTGGAGGTATACACACTTGCAGGGAAAAGGGCTTGTGAATTTAAGATGTTATCTACAAGCCAAGGACAGAGGCCTGGGACAAATCACTCCTTCATGGCCCTCAGAAGGAATCTATCCTACTGACACCTTGATTTTGGACTTCTAGCCTCCAGGACTGTTAGACAAAAAATGTATATTGTTTAAGTCACTGGGTTTGTAGTGCTTTTCATGGAAACCCTGGAGAGTATCCCCTACCCTTTCTTGGCCCAATCTGGTTAGCTGGGTCACAGATCTGCACTGCTCAACAGGCAGCCTCTGAGCAAAACACCCTGCAGACTGGAAGCCCGGGTTTGGGTGGGATTGCAAGAGACCTTTCAGATCCAACCTGCCCACCTATGAAGGCATCCCACACTCAGAAATGTACCTGAAAGGTGGGGCCCCAGCCTGTGGGAATCATTTTGCATGAGCAAGTGAGAGAATCCGAGGTTGAGACCCAAGTTAGTACTTCCACATATGCCATCACCTCCCTCCAAGATGTCACATCTTTCTACCAGGCATTTTCAAATTTCTGATGCTGAGTCTACATGTTCTGCGGAATTTCTACCTAACCAACCTAGGATTTTCCTTGAACTACAGCAAAGTTGCCCTTTCTAGATAGTTCTCCTTTATTCTATTGATATTCTGAGACCTGTTCTGTATGGACTAAACAACCCCAGTTCTTTAAGATGTGGTTTCGAGACCCCTTTCCCTCCTCATTCTCTTGATCCCCCAATGTCTTCAGGGTGAGATATGGCCTGACAACCAGGGCTATCAATGGCTCTAATGTGGCCAGCCTTGCAACCAGCCTTCAGAGCTCACTACCAGACCTATGGTCAAAAAGAAACAAAGCCATTCCGCCAGCTCCTTCTCTTTCCTGAGAGAACTATGCAAAGGCACTGATGGAAATCTGGGTCCTCCAGAGAAAGGCAACCCTCTCACTCCAGGCCACTTGGACACATTAAAACCAGTCTGGCACATGCACAAACATTAGGTATAACCCACCCTGGGTGGCAATCCATATCCATCATATTCAGCAATCTTCTCTGATAGGCTGGGTCTAATCCATGGCATCCCATGCACACACATATGTACTTGCACATATACATGTATACACAAGTACACACAGACTCCAACATGAACTAGTCCTGTGACTATGGACAAGTTAGTTATATCTCTATGTCTCAAAGGTAAAATGAGATATACTAGGACTAGCTAGCATATAGTAAACCTCTATGAATGTTAGATATTTTTATTATTATCTAAATACTATCTTTGTCCTAGAAATCTATATCCTCCAAAATGAAACAGACCTATTTGGCTTCACTACCCTGCTTTCCATGAAAATAACAATTTATTCAGTGGGTTGGGGACATTAGCACTGTAAGTGATGCCTTTTGATTGCCTGATTACCCTAGAGGGGTAATCCCTGATGGCCATAATTTTCAGGAAGGCGCTTATGAATCCAATCACCCAAGAGTGAGATGGCCTCTCCCCCTGGTTGAGCTCATTCTTCATCTGCTACCACAGAACTTTGATATTCCTCAACATACTTCCTACACAGTGTGCAGGTACCTTTTGTGAATCTAGTTCTCACACTGAACCATGTGTATGCTGGGGTATGGAAACCCAAAGGGTAAAACACAATGCATAAAACAAAACAAACCTGTAAAATAAAACATTTGGCTTCAAAGATACCTGGCAGTTGCAGCAGGTGCTTAAAGCTGCACCCCAGGGCCCTGTCTGGGGAGGTTACTATTGTCGATAGGGGTGCTTTGATGGAAACATTAAAGAGCACAACTATTCTTTAATAAATGCTGACCCACTGACTGTACTGAAACAATTTAAACTCAGCTGGGAACAGGATCACATACACACCTTCTACATTGTCACAGGGAAAAAGAAAGCTGCAGAACAAAATGTTAAGAATAACCTCATTTTTGTTATATAAATATACACTGATGATTTGTATAGACTTAAAGGAAAAAAATATCTTTAAGGAAACAGCCAACTGTTGATGCTGTTTATCTCCCAAAAAATGGGGTTTCTGTATTGTTCAAACAACTGTTTGAATTATAAGTTTTTAAACAGTAGTAGTAGTAGTAGTAGTAGTAGTAATAATAATAATAATAAAGATGGAAAGAGAATGTGCCAAAGATACCAAGACAGATAGACCAATCCTCCCTAAATCCACAGAATAGTTTCAGTGACAGCAAAAATAACAATCTAGAGGTCTAGATGGTACTCTGAATTCCTAACAGAAGCACTAAGGAAAGTGAACCCTGAACCCCTCCCTGCTAGGCTGACCTGGCACAGTCCACCTCCCTCTACTCATTCACCTCTAGCAATCTCCCCACAGGAAAATCCCCTGAACAAGATCAAGGCCCTGTAGCTTATCTCTGAGCATTTTATGATGCTGATCACCATGGTTTCCTGAAACTCAGATACACAACTCCCAGAGCTGACCCAGGCTAAGGAATACGTGAAAGGCAGAGGTTCTCACAGCAGCTGGCTCAACCCTTGAGTTCTGAACAATGCAGAGAATTGCTTCTTACTTATTCTGAATACCACTGCTATTGGACTAACCATCCCTGGAACCAACATCCATTCCAGTGGATCAAAGCAGGAACTGGACACAGCCTATTTCATTACTCAATCACTGAGTACCCACTAATTGTAAAATACTTTTTAAGAGATATAAGGGTACCATGTTACCATGTTGATAAAGAAACTGCTGTGCCCAAGGAGCTTATAATCTAGAAACACCCTCACACAAGGTAATAAAGAACAGTTGTCCTACCCAATACTGCAAGCTTAATGGCTAAAACATGGTAAAACTGCACTTCCTGGGTTTCTTCTG